CCTGTACACAAAGGTTTATAGCATTTTTCAAGGTAGCCAAAAATAAAAGAAGAAAAAGAATAGAAACAAGCCAAGTGTCTGAGAATTCCTTGATGGTCCAGTGGTTAGGACTTCATGCTTTCACAGCAGGGGCCTGGGTTCGATCCCTGGTCAGGAACTAAGATCCTACATGCTGCACGACATGGCCAAAAAAAAAAAAAGTCTGACATTTATCAAGTGGTTAGCTCTGGGCCGAGCAATGTGTTAGCTCTTTACACCAATGATTGCCTTCATACTCCCAAGATCACTGTGAGAACGAAAAAGACTTCCATGACTTCATTTTACAGATGAGTAGGCTGAGGTCAGAGAGGTTAAGTAAGTCACACAGCAAGATGGTGAACAGATATCACAGGCCTGATATTTGAGGTCCACCAGATCTGCCCTTGCCCCACCCCCAGCTTCACCTCCCACTCCTGCTATTTCCTCCCCCTAAGCCATAACTCTGCCCTACTGGCCTGATTTCTGTTTCTTTTACCCACACATTCTTTTCAGCCTCCACACTTTTGTTTTTGTTTTTGTTTTTGCGATATGCGGGCCTCTCACTGTTGTGGCCTCTCCCGTTGCGGAGCACAGGCTCCGGACGCGCAGGCTTAGTGGCCATGGCTCACGGGCCCAGCTGCTCCGCGGCATGTGGGATCTTCCCGGACTGGGGCACGAACCTGTGTTCCCTGCATCGGCAGGCGGACTCTCAACCACTGCGCCACCAGAGAAGCCCAGCCTCCACACTTTTGCATGTGCTGATTCAATCTCTCTGCCCAGTTGTTCTTTCCCCTCCCCTCCCTATCTAGTCTGTGAAATGAATGTCTAAGTGTGAGGGGGAAGAGAGAGAGAGAGGAAGAGAGAGGAGGATCTGACTCCAAGTTTCCAAACCTCACTTGGAAGTGAGGGATGCAGGGAGGGGGGCACCAAGAGGGCTGCTTGGTGGGAAAGATCAGGGCCTGCCTCCTCTGCCTTCTGAGGACTTGGTCTGCCAACCATGTCTCCAGCTTTTGGAGCCCTTGGCCTGGGTTTAACCCAAGTTGTATCTGGGGACATCTGTGCAGGAAGATGAGGTCAGATTTTCCCCTGGGCAGTTCACCAGGCCCGGAGTGAGCAGGGGAGAAAAGCATGGCTCTGCCCAATTTCTGCCCAGCACCTGGGGACAAGGTGATTCCCCCCCCCGCCACGAAGCCCCTCACTCTCCCAACTCAAAGCCTCTTCTCGGAGCCTTTTAGAATTTTTAATAAGTACATTAATACAATAGTATTATTCACTCATAAAAAGAAATGAAGTCCTACTGCCTGCTACAACCTGGAAGAACCTCAAAACATTATGCTAAGTGAAAGAAGTCTGGTGCAAAAGGCCACATATTGTATGATTCCATTTATATGACGTATCCAGAATAGAGAAACCCATAGAGACAGAGTGCAGATCAGTGGTTGCCTCGGGCTGGGGGATGGCGATGGGGAACAACTGTTTAATGGGTGTGGGGTTTCCTTTTGGGGTGATGAAAATGTTGTGAAACTAGATAGAGGTGGTGGTTGAATACCATTGTGAATGTCCTCAATGCTACTGAATTGTTCCTTTAAGAGGATTAATTTTATGTTACGTGACTATCACCTCCATTTTTTTTTTTTTTTTTTGGCTGCGCAGCGCAGCCTGCAGGATCTCAGTTCCCTAATCAGGGATTGAGCCCAGGCCACTGCGGTGAAAGCACTGAGTCCGGACTTTCCTGGTGGCACGGTGGTTAACATCCGCCTACCAACGCAGGGGAAATGGGTTCAAGCCCTGATCCAGGAAGATGCCACATGCCTCGGAGCAACTAAGCCCATGCGCCACAACTACTGAGCCTGCGCTCTAGAGCCCACGAGCCACAACTACTGAGTCCACGTGCCACAACTACAGAAGCCCGCGTACCTAGAGCCCGTGCTCTGTGACAAGAGAAGCCACTGCAGTGAAGAGTAGCCCCCGCTGGCTGCCACTACAGAAAGCCCACACACAGCAATGAAGACCCAACACAGCCAAAAATAAATTAACAAATAAATTTGTTAAAAAAACAAAAAGAAAAGCTCTGAGTCCTAACCACTAGACCACCAGGGAACTCCCTCAATTAAAAAAAAAAAAAAAGGAAGTACAGTAAGCTAGGCCTTTGCTCATGCTGATTCCTCTTCCAGGAACACCCTTCCCTCTGCCTTCCTGTTATTCTGACCTCAGCTCACTTCACCTCCACAAAGAGCCCTTGCCTGCTCTTGGATCTAAAATGGTCCCCAGGACTTCCCTGGTGGCGCAGTGGTTAAGAATCTGCCTGCCAATGCAGGGGACACAGGTTCGATCCCTGATCCGGGAAGATCCCACATGCCGTGGAGCAACTAAGCCCATGTGCCACAAAGACTGAGCCTGCGCTCTAGGGCCCGTGAGCCACAACTACTGAGCCTGCGTGCTGCAACTACTGAAGCCTGCGCACCTAGAGCCTGTGCTCTGCAACAAGAGAAGCCACCGCAAGGAGAAGCCCGCGCACCACAACGAAGAGTAGTCCCCGCTCACCGCAATTAGAGAAAGCCCCCGCACAGCAACGAAGACCCAATGCAGCCAAAAATCAATATATAAGTAAATAAAATTTTAAAAATAAATAAATAATAAAAACATTAAAAAAAATAAAGTGGTCCCCATTCCGGGAATTCCCTGGTGGTCCAGTGCACACTTTCACTGCCAAGGGCGCAGGTTCAATCCCTGGTTGGGGCCCATAAGCTGCGCGGCCAAAAAAAATAAAATAAAATAAACTCCCCATTCACTCCCGTAACACAACATTATATTTTATTTGTTTATAGTACATGTCACTATGTGGAATTCTCTTAATAACTTGTGTATGATTTTTTTTTCTCCCCCACAAAAACGTGAGCATCTTATGGGCAGAGGACCATGGTGTTCCCATTTTTAGATGAGGAAATGGAGGTTCAGGGAAGTTTAGAAACTGAAAGTCGCCCTGCCACCTGTCTCCTCTGAAATCCATGCTCCTGGCACTGCAGCTAGAGATTTCAAGCTCAGATACTGTGAGAGGCCAGGCTGGCAATAGAAATGTCCAAAGCCTCCTGGTGCCGTGGCCTGGGAGCATATGTCTTCTCAAGGACCTCTCAGGCTGTAAAATTACCTTTTTTTAAAAAAATTTTAATTTAATTTATTTTTTTGGCTGTGTTGGGTCTTTGTTGCTGCCTGCAGGCTTTCTCTAGTTGCAGAGAGCAGGGGGCTACTCTTCGTTGTGGTGCGTGAGCTTCTCATTATGGTGACTTCTCTTGTTGCAGAGCACAGGCTCTAGGCACGCGGGCTTCAGTAGTCGTGGCGCATGGGCTTAGTTGCTCCGCGGCATGTGGGATCTTCCTGGACCAGGGAACAAGCCTGTGTCCCCTGCATTGGCAGGCGGATTCTTAACTACTGCGCCACCAGGGAAGTCCCTAATTTTTATTTTATATTGGAGCATAGTTGATTTACAATGTGGTGTTAGTTTCAGGTGTACAGCAAAGTGAATCAGTAATACATATACATAAATCTACTCTTTTTCAGATTCTTTTCCCATATAGGTTATTACAGAACACTGAGTAGAGTTCCCTGTGCTATACAGTAGGTCCTTGTTGATTATCTATTTTATATAGAGTAGTGTGTGTATGTTAATCCCAAACTCCTAGTTTATCCCTCCCCCCACCTTTTTTTTGGATTAATAAACTCTATTTTTTAGAGCAGTTTTAGGTTCACAGCAAATTGAGCAGGAAGTACAGAGATGTTCCATATACTCCCCGTGCCCCACTCCCAACCTCTCCCACTATGGACACCCCACACCACAGTAGTGTATTTAGTACCACTGATGAACCTACATGAACACATCATTATCACCCAAAGTCCATAGGTCCATAGTGGCTCCCCCCCCCCCACCCCCTCCCCCTGGCACTTCGAGACTGCGAGGCATGCCAGGATCTTATTTTCCGGACCAGGGATTGAAACTGTGCCCCCTGCAGTGGAAGCACGGTCTTAACCACTGGACCACGTGGAGTCCCGAAAGTCCATAGATTTTTTACATTGAGGTTCACTCTCTGTGTTACACATTCTTTGGGTTTGGACAAATGTATAATGACATGTATCTACCATTACTGTATGATACAGAATAGTTTCACTGCCCTAAAAATCCCCTGTTCTCTGCCTATTCATCCCTCCCTCCTCCATAATCCCTCTCAACCACCGATCTTTTTACTGTCCCCATAGTTTTGCCTTTTCCAGAATGTCACATGGTTGGAACTATACATCATGTAGCCTTTTCACATTGGCTTCTTTCACTTGGGAATATGCATTTAAGCTTCCTTCATGTCTTTTCATGGCTTGATAGCTCATCTCTTTTTGAGCTAATAGTCCATTGTCTGGATGTACCAGTTTATTTATCCATTCACCTACTGAAGGACATCTTGGTGGCTTCCAAGTTTTGACAATTATGGAGAAAGCTGCTAGTAACATCCACGTGCAGGTTTTTGTTTGGACAACACTCTATTCTTGAGAAGCAAGTCTCGAAGTCCAGCTCCTTCCCTCAAGGAGGGGGGAACTTAGCTCTCCCCTTTAGAGGGAGTTTCCAAGAATTTTTGGACAAAGATTAAGGCCACCTAGGTGATTAATAAATATTTGGGAGGAGAAACTTTGAGGCTATGTGAATGTCGTCTTTCTCCTTAAAGTTTTACCCATTAATTTTCTCATTAATCAGTGGGTTCTACCTGCAACAATGACCACAGTGGTATTCTAACAGTGATTTTCTATTTTCATCATTCATTATACTTTTTTTTTTTTGGCTACATCATGCAGCTTGTGGGATCTTAGTTCCTTGACCAGGGATCGAACTCGTTCCCCCTGCAGTAGAAGTGCAGAGTCCTAACCACTGGACTGCCAGGGAATCCCTCATTATACTTTTATTCATTGGAATTCTTCTGTCAGGAAGATTTGTTCCTTCTCCCTCAGTTTAAATAGATTCATTCATGTATTTAAATCGGCATGGATTTGTGGACATTTATTCTATTCTTTGGGTTATAATCCAATTCTATCGCTATTTATTTTGTTCAAATTGTTCCAGCTTTGGCCAGTGGGAGTTCTTTCAGACTGGCTCTGGTGTCTTTTTGGCATTTTTTTTTTTTAAAGCACTCTGTCTAGAAGATGCTCCAGGGTCCTTGTGCAGTTTTTCTGCCCCAGCCCTAAAAGTGGTCGTTTCTCCAAGAAGCCCTGGTTCCTCATACTGGAAAATGGTATTTAGAAACCAAGATCTGGGTGCTGAGTGTACTCATTGCTACTGGGGTGTCATTGCTCTGAGCCCTCGGCAGGCAGAGCTGGGAAATGTGTGTGTACTAACCCGTGTGTACACTCACATCCATATTTACTTTCATATCTAACTGTTAAAATAAACACTTCATAATGGTAACCCCATCCGGCACCACACTGCTTATTTGTAACTTCATTCTCCAACAGTATGAAAACTGGTTGTCAGTATCTACAACATATGTACTTATTTGTTCAGGGCTAGTACATAGCAGTTCCAGAATTAACCCGTACCCCTGTGAGAAACAAATATACCGACCAGACTAGTGTTTCTGTACCGTTAGGACAGATGTTTGAATGGGAAACCTTTGAGCCAAGTAACCGAATCTTGAGGTTGTGAGCCGGAGTTCGCCCTACGACCTCCAGTTTGAGACAACCCCCCACCATCCCCCCCACCCCCCCCCCCCGAAACCATGAATGCTCTGGTCTCTGGCTGTGGGAAAGTTGTCAGTTCGCACCTCCCTGCAGCCACATTCATGCCTCAGGACTGGTCAGAGGGAGATGGAGAGGGGGGGAATGGGAAGTCCTGCTGCAGCCCTCTGCCTCTGGATGGGTGGAGGTGTGAGGGTACTGTGGGAGGCATTTTGCTCTTTCAGAGATGAGGATACAGCTCAGTGAGAGTGGGCACAGGTTGGGTGGGGCGGCCCCTATGGGTGAGGGCCCTGGCAGCAGAACCTGCCGGGCAGGTGTGCCGGCCCAGACATGCATCAGGCGGCGGGCTGTGGCAGGAGCTCGGAGGCCAGGGGTGCCCTTCCCCTGGGAAAGAGACCAGGCATGGCTGGGGGGCAGGGGGTGGAGGCAGGTTGGGGTGCTAGTGGTGCCTGGGGTTGATGGGCCCTGAGTTGAACCCCTTCCTAATTCCTCCTCTGGGATACAGTGGTGACCAATAGCACCTGAGCTAACATTGACTGAACTCTCACCTGTGTCTCACAGCTCTGTTCCACTCCTTCCTCCTCAACAGCATCCCTCGGAGTGGGAACTGTCGTTATCCATTTTACAAAAGAGGCCGCCAACGCTCAGAGTGGGTGTCACTTGCCCAGAGTCCTAGATTACAAAGTAGCTAAGCCCAGCTCCACACTCCAAGCTCTTAACCTTTACTCAGTGACTGGGCAGAGGGACAGACAGGGTCCCTGGCTTCCTGGAGCTGGGAGTCTAGGGCAGAGACCCACAGTATGCCAGATGAATAAGTAAACATTCAAGGTAATTTCAGATGGTGCCAACTGCCGTGTGAGCTTGGGGAGGAGGGGGACGCAGCAGGGAAGGCCTCTCTGTGGAGGTGACCGGCTGGAAGGGCTGGAAGAAGGGTGTTCCAGGCAGGCTGATCCCCAAGTGCCAAGGTCTTGAAGTGTGTGAGGAACTGGGGGGAAGTCAGTGGGGCTGGAAGGGAGTATGACGGAGGAATAGCAGAGATGTAAGGAGGAAAGACTGTGCAAGGCCTTGTGGGTTTTGAAGGCCTTGTAGTTGAGGTTTGGACTTGAACTCTGAGCCACATATGGAGCCATGGGAGGGTCTAGAGCAGGAGAGGGCTGTGATCTTGTGTACGAGGTGGCATGAGTTGGGGGTGCTGGGCCTGAGACCCGTGGCAGGAAGAGCCCCCCTCCACCCTGCGGGGCCTGTGGGAGGTGAGATCGCCGCCTGGGAGGTGAGAAGCAGCCACTTTCCCACCCTGGGGTGTGGCTTCCCCTTTGCAGAATGGGGTCATTTATGGATCACATGATGTGTGCCAGGCATGGCCCTGCCGCGTCTGGGGAATCTTCAGGGCTCATCCCAGCGGGCTTGGTCGCAGGAGGCTGTGGAGCTCTGGCACCCAAACCTTAAGGCGCCCCCCCTTCGCGGGCCCCGCTGGCTGCGCTGTCCCTGTGTGGGACCTGTCGGAGCAGGCAGGAGTGGTTGTATTTGGAGCCCCAGGGATTCCCTAAGAGGCTACACGGGGATGCGACCCGGCCTGGGTGTCCCACGCGGTCCCTCCCCTGGGGGCACCCTTCCGATCCATCCCCAACCTCTGGCTCATGGTCCCTGGGACGCCCTCACCCCACCCGTGACCCGCAAAGCCTGAGGCAGCAGGTGCAAAGGGCACAGTCCTGGTGAAGGTCGTGGCAGCCAGGCCCAGCCCCCCTTCCCGGCTGTGGCCTCTGGTAGGAGGGAGCTTCCCAGCCTGGAGGCTCCTGGGAACTGGGGGTGTGGGCTGCGGGGCCAGCTGGGACTGGCCCGTCGGAGGAGCGGAGGCCTGGGAGAGACGTGGGAGAGGCACAGAGAAAGGCGGAGAAGCGACTGAGAGAGACACACAGAGACAGGGAGAAATAGAGACGGAGAGACCCTGAGAGAACAGAAGAGAGACACACAGAGAGAAAGTGAGGGAGACAGTCATTCATTCATTCACTCAGCGGCTGCTTACTGGGCACAGGCTGTGTCCAGGCAGTGCCCACGACAGAACGCAAATTCCTACCCCTGTGGGGCTGACTGGTGGGAACACAGTCCAGAAACATGACAACCGAGTAAATCACTTTGTCGGGAGTGATAAGGGTGAGAGAGACGGGGTGGGGGAAGCGGGAGAACCAGGGGGACTTACGAGCCAGATTCTCCTTATCTGGGGAGGAAAAGGTTCCCACCAGAATCTTGACCGCGCCTGCCCCTCCCCCACTCGCCCCAGACGGGGGGTGGGAGCGGGGAAATGGGGTGGGGCCTGAGCCCGGAGGCCGACGGGACCTAGCTGCTGGGGGGAGGGGATTGAGGCTACCGCTGCCGAAGACCCCTCCTAACCTGGGTTGCCAGGGTCCCTCCGCCGGCGGGACGTCCTTGGGGTGCAGCCCAGGAGGTTCAGTTGGAAGGTAGGTGGAATACAGGGAGGGACCAGTGCCCAGAGGACAGAGAGGACCCCTTTACTTCGGTGGGCGGGGGGAGAGGCTGAAGAACCCTCCCCTTCTCATGTCTCCGGGTCCTCCCACCGCGACCGAGCGTCCCTGGGAGAGAAGCCCAGGCCCGGAGGGGGAAGCTGAGGGCTCGCCTGTGCCAGTCGCCACCAGGGCGCGTTCCGGTGCCGCGGCGGGTGGCACAGGCTGGCAGACACGGGCTGGGAGCCTGGGCCCCAAGGGGAGGGGGCAATTGCTTGCGACCGCGGGCACTCGACTTGCGGGCCCGCCCCCTCGCCTGTCAGCTCCAGTCCCGCCCCCCGAACAGAGGCAGCTCACTCAGCTCCAGGCCGCTCGACTGCTGAGCGCACACCACCTGGGCACAGGGGTGAGTGTACAGCACCGGGTCCTTTCGCGCGCGGGGCTCAGCCTGGCCCAGAGGGTGTTGCCCTTGTCACTACCCTTGTCCCCTTGCTTGGGTTCCTCGGCCTTTCCCGAAGGCCTCGCGGGAGAGGAAAACCGGCGACTTCGGGACTGGATGCGGGACCCGGGATGTGGGTGTTTGTGGGGCGCCCGGAATCCCCTGGCCTCGCTCCCTCCCAGCCACGCCACTGCAAGTTTCACTACCTCACTCGTGCCTCCAGGCAAGACGAGGCGAGGCGGGCGGTGCACAGGGTGTGAGCCTCTGTGCAGTGTTCCCAGCAGAGCGAATGTAACCTGTATCTGCGTGTATCTGATGCCCCCTTCCCCCACAGCGTGGCTGAGTCCGTGACTCCCTGTGAGTCCGTATTTGCGCCTGGTTCCCTGTGTGCAGCTGAAGCTGTCTGGGGTGCATTTGTTTCTGCCATGTCCAACTAAGTCCGTTCCCCTCCCTAGGCCTTGGTTTTCTCATCTGTTAAGTGGGACTCCCGTGATTGTGTAACTGTTTCTGCGTGGATGTGTTTGTGTGGGAGCGTGAAAACCTTTGTGCCTGCTTCTATGCAGGGTACTTTGAGCGTCAGCTTCCTCGTCTGTAAATTGGGGACGAGGGGATGATAGCATGCAGTCACAGGTGGGAGGTATTATTATACTTTAATGACATATATGCCCTTCTGCAAGAGTCTGTGAGATGTGGATCCTGTCTGCTGCCCTCAGGCTCTGTCGCTGCAAAATGCGTGGATGGGCTCAGCTTTCTCCCTGGGGTTTTGTGGCGGATGAAGGGGGGTTCGCAGAAAAAAGTCCTGTGTGCAGCGAGGTGTGAAGATTGTGGGGCTCTGGGTTCCAGGCTGGGTGTGGGTGGAGTTTGTGAAATTGTGGCCTGTGAGACTAGGCATAAGATCCCGTCTGCGTGTGGCGGAATTTGTATCTCTTTGCCTGTGTCTCTCTGTCCGTGTGTGAATGGGCGTTCGTGTTTCCCTGATGGGGTGTAACTGTGCATTTTGCCCTAGTTTGTGCCTATCTGTGCACATGTCCTTGTCGGCGTGTCACTGTATTTGTGTGTCCCTTTCTCTGTGTGGCTATTTCTGTCTGTTTATGATTAATATGCCTCTGGACATCCCTGCTTGTGTGTGAATTATTAGTGTACCTTTCCTGTGGGACTTGTGTTACCCTGTCCCCTTGTGATGTCATTTGTGTGTCTTTGTGTCGGCCTGTCTCCATGGACACCCCCCTGCCATCCCAAACTCCCTCTGGGCCCCGTAGTGCGTGTGGGGTAGGGAGTAGGGGGTTAGGGCCCCCTTCGCAGGTGAGGCCCCGCCCGTGCCCGCCTCCGCAGGCCGCGGGGATGGTGCGCGCCAGGCCTGACATTGCACCCAACCTCTCTGCAGTCTTGGGGCGGGCAGCCCATGGAGCCGGGGCTGCTGCGGCCAGCGCCAGTGAGCGAGGTCATCGTCCTGCATTACAACTACACCGGGAAGCTCCGCGGTGCGCGCTACCAGCCCGGCGCGGGGCTGCGCGCCGACGCCGTCGTGTGCCTGGCCGTGTGCGCGCTCATCGTACTCGAGAACTTGGCCGTGCTGATCGTGCTCGGACGCCACCCGCGCTTCCATGCGCCCATGTTCCTGCTCCTGGGTAGCCTCACGCTGTCCGACCTGTTGGCGGGCGCCGCCTATGCAGCCAACATCCTGTTGTCGGGGCCTCTCACGCTGCGCCTGTCGCCCGCGCTCTGGTTCGCTCGTGAGGGTGGCGTCTTCGTGGCGCTCGCCGCGTCCGTGCTGAGCCTCTTGGCCATCGCGCTCGAGCGCCTCCTCACCATGGAGCGCCGGGGACCCGGACCCGCTCCCGCAGCTCGTCGGGGGCGCACGCTGGCGCTGGCGGCCGCGGCCTGGGGCGTGTCGCTGCTCCTCGGGCTACTGCCCGCGCTCGGCTGGAATTGTCTCGGCCATCTGGACGCCTGCTCCACGGTCCTGCCGCTCTATGCTAAGGCCTACGTGCTCTTCTGCGTGCTCGCCTTTGTTGGCATCCTGGCTGCCATCTGCGCACTCTACGCGCGGATCTACTGCCAAGTGCGCTCCAAAGCGCGGCGCCTGGGGGCCCACCCCGGGACTGGCGAGGGCGCCTCGACCCGCGCACGCCACACGCCGCGCTCGTTGGCTCTGTTGCGCACGCTCAGCGTGGTGCTCCTGGCCTTCGTGGCTTGTTGGGGACCACTCTTCCTGCTGCTCTTGCTGGACGTGGCGTGCCCGGCGCGCGCCTGCCCTGTGCTCCTGCAGGCGGACCCCTTCCTGGGCCTGGCCATGGCCAACTCGCTTCTGAACCCCATCATCTACACGTTGACCAACCGCGACATGCGCCAAGCGCTCCTGCGCCTTCTCTGCTGCGGCCGCCGCTGGTGCAGCCTAGGCCCGGGTGCCTCCCAGCCGTCGGGGAGCCCCCCTGGGGCTTCGGGCGGCCTGCAGCGCTGGCTGCCTCATGGCCTGGATGGCAGCTCCAGCCACTCCGAGCGCTCGTCACCCCAGCGGGACAGGCTGGACACCAGAGGCTCGACAGGCAGCCCTGGCGCGCTCACAGCCGCCTGGACCCTGGTACCCCCTCCAGCCGCAGACTGACGCCCTTTGGTCCGCCACTGGCCTCCCTAAGAGCTCTTTCGCAGACTTTCTTGCTAAATTAAGGAATTTATAGGAAAAGCAGCTGAAGATGGTGGAGGCAGAAAAGACGCAGAAGAATGTATTTTATTGACGCTAAACCCCACAGCAATGAACAAAACAGACAAAAATCCCTTCCCTTGCGGGATTGATGTTCTGGTGGCGGACATAGACAATAACGGAATGAAGAGGTATGGAGATAATTCCAGTGACGATACAGTGATGCGATGGTGGTCAGGGGATGCCTCTCTGCAGAGGTGGTAACGTGTGACGTGAGATGGACTGTCCCGGGAACTTCTGAAGGAAGATCATTTCGGGGTGAGGCTGCAAAGGCCCTGAGCCTAGAATATGCCTGTGTGTTCTCTGAAAAGCACATAAGTCAATGTGGCTGGAGCGGAGGATGGAGAGGGAGAGTGGGAGGAAACAAAGGCAGGGGAATAATGGGACAGATGGGGCAGGGACTTATGAGCCCAGGGGAGGACTTTCTTTTGCTCTGAGTGAAGTGGGTTCATGGAGCGTTCTAGGCAGAGGAGGGACTTAATCTGGCTCACGTGTTTACAGATGCCTCTGGTCTCTGTGGAGGGTGAAGCTAGGAGAACAAGGTGATGGAGACTGCACTGGCCTAGGGGAGTGATGATAAGGAATCGGACCGTGTGGATTCTCCATGGATTTGGGAGGTATTGGACAGAATTCCGGAGGAAATTGGGCGTGGGGGAGAAAGGAGTCAAGGACAGCTCTTCACTCGAGAGGAGAGACCAAAGACAGGGCACCCTAAAAGTTTACTCTAGGAGACTCAGCCAATTCCTATCTGAAACAAGATTTCTTTGAATGTGGTGTCAGATCTTTCATAAAGAATAAAAATACAATCAAATAATAAAAGTGATTACAGTTTATTGTGCCTGGATAGTCGCCCCATAGTGCTAGGCCCAGGACAGGCCTTTTTCTCACCCTTACTGCAACCTTTCAAGGTAGGTTTCCTCACCCCCATTTGACAGATGAGGAAACTCCAAGAACAAAGTACCTTGTCCCAGTGTCTGAGCCAGGATACAAGACCAGGTGGTCCAGGCTCCAAGGTCCGAGGAGGCGCAGGCTTGATGTCTGGTCCCTCTGGAGGGGTCTGTTAAGGCCAAGCAGACACTCCCTCCTTCAGGGGTCTACATTTTCGGCCAGGGGCGATCCTAGGGCCCCGTTTGTGCCCATAAAAGGCTCCAGGAGCGGAGGCCGCGTCTGCCAGCTGTCCCTGGCCCCCAGGTGTCCCCAGGCGTATTCCTAACCTCTGTGCGGAGGGGCTGGCGGGAGAGGGGTGGGGTGGGTGTGGGGAAAGGATTGGGGGCTTCGGGCTCAGATTGCGGCACGCCACCTGCCGGGAAACATCGGAACTGCAGGCAGCCGTAAGTAAAGATCGCGGTGTGTTTTGGGGCGTGGAGCGGGGGCTGACCCCTGCAGACCGTACGCACGGGGAAACAACCTACTTCCTGGAACACAAACACACTCAAACCTGGGGTCGCCTCCCAGGGCACTTCGAGAACTGGACCCAATCTCCCACCTGGCCTGGTTCCCCTATCCCCAGGCTCCTGTTATCTTCCGGGGCAACCTGAGACACCCCACCCCATTGTTCAGTTGTGTGATAGTGTGATGGCAGACGAGTTATTCACTTGTTCACATCTTACAAAATTCAAAAAGCACCAGTTCCCCCTCCTGGATGCATACACTATTGGGAAACTTCCAGAGCTATTCTGTGGATAAATGAGCTGAAATGTAAATACACCTCTCTCGTTTTACACGTTAGCACTGCTCTCCACCTTGCTTTGATCACTTAATAGTATATCTTGGAAATTGTTGCACATCTAGATTTTGTACTGTGTTAATTGGCTCTGGCTGCCATAACAAATACCATAGCCTAGGTGGCTTAAACAGCCAAAATTTATTTCTCACACTTCGGGAGGCTGGAAGTCCAAGATCAAGGTGTCAGCATGGTTGGGTTCTGGTGAGTGCTCTCTTCCTGGCTTGTAGACAGCTGCCTTCTGCTGTGTCCTCACATGGTGGAGAAAGAGAGCACGCTCTCTGGTGTCTCTGATAAGGGCACTCATGCCATCACGAGGGCCCCACCCTCAAGTCCTCATCTAAACCTAATTACCTTCCTAAATCCCCATCTCCAAATACCATCACCTTGGGGGTTAGGGCTTCAAAATATGATGATGGGGGGGGGGTCACAATTCAGTCCATAGTACTTTTTTCTTTTTTTTCCACATTAAAAAAAATCGAAGTAAACATGTCTTGCTTCTTTTCACTGGCTGCATGGTATTTCACAGCATAGACATACCACCACTTATACCAGGGCCCTAGGGAGGGACACGTGTTGAGCCCAACACCTTGCCTTTATACACAGTGTGGCAATAAACATCTGTGTACATACATCCTCCTGCACCAGTGCCAGTGTACCTTGGATAAATTTCTACATGTGGCACTGCTGGGTCACAGGTCTTGTAGATGTTACTTTGAGATACTGGAGGTTTCTTTCGGCCTGTGGAGGAGGGTGCGGGTTTCCTCACAGTCTCAGTCACTCCCTGTACAGTATTTGCCGGCTATGCTATTGCGCCCCCTCTGGAGCTACCCAGAACTGCAGCTTCACGCAACTGGAATGGGAGGAGGGGGGAGGAACCCCACTCCAGCCTCGGACACCGGATTAATCCCAGACCCTGAGCAGGGAGGCTGAATCTTCCAGGTTCACCCCGGAAGCGGGCGGAATCCTTTCTTAGACCAACATCTGTTCAGCCTAGTGTTTCATATAGATGGACTCTTTTAAAAAAAACCTTAAATACATTTACTTAAAAACTAACTTTATATCACAAACAGCATAAATGGCAAATCAGTATCACTTGCCATGAAAAATAACAATCCATATTTATTGGGCCCTAGCGTTCTCCTTTAGTTCTCCCGATAACCTAGCAGGTATTAACATTTTACAGGGAGGAAACTGAAGCACGGAGAGGTTAAATTATGGGCCCACCAGCACAGAGCTAGAGAGTGGCAAAGCAGTTGTTCGAATGCCCGCCCGCGAGCTCCACGCGCCTCCAAACTGGAGATTATAAAGACAATGCAAATCCAAGTAGGTAGACAATTCTGGCTGGATCCTGCGGCCGCCTTAATGTGAGGCCTGCACTGTGTGGAATTAAAGGGAGAACAGGTCGTGGAGAGCAGACCTGCGCTGACACGACGAAACCCGGCGGATGGAAGGGGCTGCGAAGGAGGGACGGGCCGGGTGGGCTTGGCCATGCGCCCTCGCCCGACGCCCCATTCCTCCCTCATGGGCGCTGGGCACCTGCGGGAAGGGCGGGGAATCGCGACCCCTTCCCCGCTGCGCCCTCTCCCTGCCTCCTTCCCGGGCGTCCCGAGGCTGCCCCCCATTCGACGGCTGCAATCCCGCAGGCCCCGCCGCCCCAAAGCCGAGGCCCCCCAGACGGCGGAAGCTCCCGCGGGACCCTGACAGTGAAGGTTAGGCTGGAGCCTCGCCCGACCGGGCCACGGCCCCTCGGGCTTCCCGGAAGCTCGGTGCGCGGGTGGCACCACCGTACCCGGAGCCACCGCCGTGCCCCTGGCATCCCCACCCCGCCTCGAGAGCAGCGGAGGCTACGCAGAGACGCAGGTGAGCGCGCCGGCGGCGGCAGCGGCGGGGTGGGGTGTCCACTGATCCCTGGTGCGGGGAAGCGCTGGGCCTCGAACCTGGGGCTCATTCTCCGCGGCTCCGACCACGCGGCTGGGTGCGCTGCCGTCCTTGGCCCCGCCGCAATGACCGGCGCTGTGGTCGCCGCGCTGGGGCTGCGCAACAGGGCGACAGCTAGCGTGGGCGGGTGAGGGGGGAGGGGCCCTGCCGCGGGAGGCCTGGGGCCGCAGGGACTTTTATTCTGACACGGCCGGCGCCCGGCTCTGCTTAGTCATGGTGACCTGCGCGCGTTCTGCGCCTCCCCCCTGCGCACTGCGATGGAGGCGCCCGGGCCTGGGCGACGGAGGCGGAGCCCGAGCGCGGCCATGGCGGGGTGAGTGGGGCGGCCAGCGCCCGGGCTGAGGGCGCCAAGGGCCGTGAGCGCCCTGCGGCCGTGCCCGGGGGCCAGAAAACCGGGAGATGCGGGACCGGTCTCGGGGTTCCCGCGGCTCCGCGGAGGGCCAGGAGGGCGCGGCTCGAGTCCTATCCTTTTGTTGGACGGCGCGACTCGCGGGGTGGCCCGGGAGCGACGCAAGCCGAGCGAGAGGCCCAGGGAGCGCCGCTCGGACGGAGGCCCGGGGACCCCGGGGCGTTGGGGGGCTTGGTTTGCGCCCTGGGGCTGGCAGTGGAGAGGCCGCGGCGGGGTCACTTCCTCCCTTCTCCAGGCCTTGGCGGCTCAGGCGGGACATGCGCAGACCCCCACTTACCGCTTCTTGGGGGGAAGTGCCCGGTGCCCAGGGGGCACCGTTGACCTATTGGCCAAAGACCGAGAGGCAGGCCTGGGTCTCGGCTGGGGAGAGGCGGCCAAGCGGCATCCAGGGCCCGGTGGAGGAGGGTGCTCTGGCAGGGACAGTGGAGTGGGCAGTCAGCCAGCCACAGCTTACTGACCTCTGCGGGGTGCCAGGCCCCAGGCAGGATGCAGGGGAGGCACATGAGAGGGTGGGCATAACCCTGACCTACACAGGTCTACCTGCTCTCTGAAGCCTGGGGCTTAGGGCCAGAGGAACAGGCCATCCTTCAACAAGCAAGCAAAGGAGCGCCTTTCCATTCTTGACAAGTGCTGTGATGGAAATAAAACAGGGAGGAGGTGACTCTGAGTCGAGCCCAGAGAAAGATAAGATGAAGAACCCAGGGAGCCTCTTGCAGACCCCCCCCCCCCCACGCCACTCCCCACAGGACTTTTCAAAACATAACTCACGCCCTGGCCCTCCAGACTCCACAGGGTTCACCGAAAGCCTCCCTTCACTAGTCAGTCTCTCTCATTACACTCCTCCCTGATTCTCTAGATTGTCTCTCATCATTCTGCCTCTGAGCCTTTGCACTTGCTGTTCCCTCTGCCTGGAAAACTAACTCCCACCCCCAGCTTCTTCATACGTTCACCCTCTGGTCTCAGCTCCAACAGAGGCCTGGACTACCTGATTTAAAAAAAACTGCCCCCATATGACACTGTCCCAATGCTGTTGTCATTTTCTTCATAACCCCAGTTTCTGCTCCAGTCTTGCTTATTTTACTTATGGCCCTTCCCTCCCCAGTGTCAGCACCAGCGGGGCACAGTGCATTTCTGTCTTGGTCACTGCTGTGTCCCCGGTGCCTAGAACAGTGCCTGGCACACAGTAGGTGCTCAATAAATGTTGGTGAGGTGAATGAAGGAATGAGTTGGACATGTCCTAGGAAGGGAGGGGCCACCAGAGAGCTGGAACAGAATGAGCAAAGGGAAGAGGTGGACAGGAGCTGACTGTGAAGAGCTTTGCAAGCCATTGAAGAATTTGGTTTTATTCTTCATGCCACAGGGAGTTGTAGGGGGATTCTGAGCAGGGGAGGGACACCATCTGACCTATGATTTAGGCTGGACCCTCGGGCTGGTGAGGCCATGGGGCAGTTAGGGAGTGCAAATGCACACTGCTTCACCTGTGCTTAGGAAGGAAAACTGGGCTAGGAGTTACTTTATCTTAGAAAAGAAGGCCTGGCCCCAGGCCCTCCCCCCAGCCCTGTGCTCTCCCTCCTCCAGGCCCCTGAGTGCCAGTGGTGGTGTTGTCCCTTGTCACCTGGAACCCCATGCAGCTGGAACCCGGGCCTAGTGGGGCTGGGGCCCACACCCAATTCCTACCCCTGAGGTCACAGCGCCCTGAGGGGGCAGGGGACACGGTGATGTACGCCTCCACCGAGTGCAAGGCCGAGGTGACGCCCTCCCAGCACGGCAACCGCACCTTTAGCTACACCCTGGAGGATCACACCAAGCAGGCCTTCGGCATCATGAACGAACTGCGGCTCAGCCAGCAGCTGTGTGATGTCACGCTGCAGGTCAAGTACCAGGACGCACCAGCCGCCCAGTTCATGGCCCACAAGGTGGTGCTGGCCTCATCCAGCCCCGTCTTCAAGGCCATGTTCACCAATGGGCTGCGGGAGCAGGGCATGGAGGTGGTGTCCATTGAGGGCATCCACCCCAAGGTCATGGAGCGCCTCATTGAGTTCGCCTACACGGCCTCCATCTCCATGGGTGAGAAGTGTGTGCTCCATGTCATGAACGGTGCCGTCATGTACCAGATTGACAGCGTGGTCCGCGCCTGCAGCGACTTCCTGGTGCAGCAGCTGGACCCCAGCAACGCCATTGGCATCGCCAACTTCGCCGAGCAGATCGGCTGTACTGAGCTGCACCAGCGTGCCCGAGAGTACATCTACATGCACTTTGGGGAGGTGAGCAAGGGGAGGGGACGTGGAGCCAGGGCTTGGGAGCAGCATCAGAAGGACCAGGGAACAGACAGGTGGTCATCACTGTCTCCCCTTAAGATGTGAAGGGTCAAGGCAAGGAGCTGGAGAAACATGGGGTTCTGGTTTCCTAGTCTACATATCTGGGGCAACTCTGGGAAACAGCGAGGAAAGTGAGGCCTTCACGGGTTTCTGGGCCCCCTGGTCTCTCTGGGGTCAAAGGTGGGGTTAGGGTGCAGTGAATATGTTGGCAGTTCCATCCTGGTGTGCTGAGCAGGGCCTGACCTTTCAGTCAGTCCGCCATTATTTATTGAACACCCATGGCGTGCTGTTGACTGCAAGTATGACCCTTACACATGTTTTCTTTGGTCCACGGAGTGTTGTCCTTGCACTATTCTTTGTTTCGTTTTCGTTTTTAAGTGGAGGAAGTTGTGAATAGAGAAAATAAGTGCTTGTTTAGCACTTGCTGTGGGCCAGCCCCTGTTCTAAGTGATTTTCATCCTTTAAATCACTGAATCTTCCCAGCTCTCCTAGGAGGAGGTATGCTTTGGAGTGCCTTCTTGGAAGTTTTCAAAGTCATCCTCCAGTGGCTGGGACCAGCTGGGGTGGACACTACCCTGATCCCCACTCCTCTTCTTCTCTACCACCTTGGGGGTTGTCCAGGTGCTCCAAGAAGCTCTGGCATTAGTCCTAAGGCCTGTGGCTTCCAGGAAGGTGGTCCAAGAGCAAGGCTCTCCCACTGACCTGCACAGCATTGGTTTCAAGGGATTGCATGGGCTTGGGGGTACCAGAAAATTGGGAACCTGCTTATGTGGGGTGACTGAAATTATTTATATAGACCAGTGCCTGGCAAGAAATATTTACCCCAGGAGTAGCCCTGCTATGAGATAGCTACTAATTTAATCCCCTTTTTATAGAGGAAGAAAACCAAGACCTGGAATGTTTCAGATCTTTGCCCAGAGTCACACAGTTAGAAAGTAGTAGGCCGAAATTGCAACTCAGGCTGTTTTCTTCGAGCCTGAACTTTTTTTTCTTTCTAGAATATTCTATTGCTATTGCCTTTGTAGTCTGTCTGCTATTTTGAAAAGTAATTTCCTTAAAAGGGTAACGTTCAAATACAAAATCATACAAAAACGTACACGGTACATCGTGTCCTTGCCCATTTACCTGAGTACTTGTGTACTACACGCTTGGCTCACGCAATGTAACTCATTTGATCCTCACACACTGTGAGGTTCATACTATTCAAATCCCCATTTCACACCTGAGGAAGCTGAGGTCGTCAGAGGCAGGTTGAGTGACTTGTCCAAGGTCATAGCACTGTTGAAGGGCGGGCTGGGGGGGTGGGGAGGTGGAGAGAGACATGTAAGTCAGCCCGTCACACCAATGCCCTCTGCAGGTGGCCAAGCAAGAGGAGTTCTTCAACCTGTCCCACTGCCAGCTGGTGACCCTCATCAGCCGGGACGATCTGAACGTGCGCTGCGAGTCTGAGGTCTTCCACGCCTGTATCAACTGGGTCAAGTATGACTGCGAGCAGCGGCGCTTCTACGTGCAGGCGCTGCTGCGGGCTGTGCGCTGCCACTCGCTCACCCCCCACTTCCTGCAGATGCAGCTGCAGAAGTGTGAGATCCTGCAGTCGGACTCCCGCTGCAAGGACTACCTGGTGAAGATCTTCCAGGAGCTCACCCTGCACAAGCCCACACAGGTGATGCCCTGCCGGGCGCCCAAGGTGGGCCGGCTCATCTACACGGCCGGCGGTTACTTCCGCCAGTCACTCAGCTACTTGGAGGCCTACAACCCCAGCGACGGCACCTGGCTCCGGTTGGCGGACCTGCAGGTGCCAAGGAGCGGGCTGGCGGGCTGTGTGGTAGGTGGGCTGCTGTATGCCGTGGGTGGTCGGAACAACTCCCCCGATGGCAACACCGACTCCAGCGCCCTGGACTGCTACAACCCCATGACCAACCAGTGGTCGCCCTGCGCCTCCATGAGCGTACCTCGAAACCGAATCGGGGTTGGGGTCATCGATGGGCACATCTATGCTGTCGGCGGCTCCCATGGCTGTATCCACCACAACAGTGTGGAGAGGTGAGTGGCGGCGTCTGGAGGGGTGGGCTCCGAGGGTTCCACTGCTGACGGGTCCCAAGCCATTGGGATCTGGGGGTTCCCCCTGTTGTTGAGTGCTTTTCTCTGTGCCTTGCCTTCAGGGAGTGGAAGCCTCAAGGTGAAGCTAAACTCCTGGGAGATTTATGGTCGTGACCTTGGATGCTGGGTCTGGGCCTGGCAACTGTTTACAGGGCCACCACAAATGCACACAGCAACTTTATGCAGCTTTGGAAAAAGTTCCATCAGTTTGAAATTGTTGTAATATGCTAATTTTGTTAAAACGTGACACCTCACTGCCATCTGTCCACAAATTGTTGTAATAAACATATGTATGAGGCCTGCTACATGGTAGGTCCCCCCTCAGATGTGGTGCCCTTGTGCAGTACACAGTCTGCACAACTGTGCGTGGTGACCCTGTGTTTAGAGGCCAAGTATTTTGGGCTTTTGACTCTCCTATAGCCTCGTCCTCTGCCTTCTTGTTTTCCAGAGGTGTGAGCCAGAATACAGTTCTCACCTGGAACTTGTTAAAACAAACTCCCCGGCCCACGACAGGGGATGCTGGAGATCTGGCATTGGTGGGTTTGGAGTGAGGCTGGGGAGTAGGAATTTTAAACAAACACCCCAGAGGCTTCTAATGTACACGGTCTGTGAATAGGATGATGAGATGATGCATCGCCCTCAACAGGCCACTTTCGAGAAGAAAAGGGGCCCTATGAATTATTCCAGGAGCACAGGCCTGAACTGGAAGTGCCTGGGCCAACTGGGACATATGGTCACTCCGTCTTTGAGCATCATACTTTGAGAAGAACCATGCCAGGGGGTAGCCTAGTTGTTCGGACTGGGGTTCTGGTGTCCAAGAGAGCTGGATCAAACCCCAGGTCTGCCACTTCCTGGGTGACCCTGAGTATGCCATCTCACCTCCCTGTGCCTCTGTCTTGTCATCTGTGAGGTGGGGGACAATAGCGAGGACTCCTTTCCCCACTAGGCTGTGTGGGGCTTTGGTGAGATAATACACATAACACTCAACACAGGCAGTGGTATGATGGAGCCATTGGGGTCCAACAGATGTGCATGTGACCTTGAGCAGATGGTGGCTGTGAACCTCAGTTTCCTCATCTGGAAAATGGATCTACTGATAACTTGTGTTTTGGGGAATCCTTGTGAGAATTAAAGAGTTCAAGTGCCTAAAGCCATAGCAGAATATCAGTGGGGGTTAGTGTTCCAGGTCAGCTGTGGTTGCTGCTGTCATTGTTATTATGTCGTTGCAGGTATGAGCCAGAGCGGGATGAGTGGCACTTGGTGGCCCCAATGCTGACACGAAGGATCGGGGTGGGAGTGGCTGTCCTCAACCGTCTACTCTACGCGGTCGGGGGCTTTGACGGGACGAACCGCCTTAACTCAGCCGAGTGTTACTACCCAGAGAGAAACGAGTGGCGAATGATCACACCCATGAACACCATCCGAAGTGGGGCAGGTGCGCAGGGGCTGCGGGGAGGGGAGAGAAGAGGAACACCTTCCCACCCCTGGGCGTGAAACTCGGCCAGGCCTCCTGTTTCAGCCTTAAACCCCGTGGCACACACAGGAGAGCTGGATTCTGATAGAGTCCATGCTCTTCTCTCCCGGCTTTGTTTCTAAAGGGTCACTTGGGAGAGGGGAGAAGGGGGAGGGGAGGGTCCCCCCGCCCAAGAAGGTGGTGGCTGAGGCCCGCAAGGCCAGGCCCCGGAGTCACCCTCTCTGTGTGGTACCACTTAGGAGTCTGCGTCCTGCACAACTGCATCTATGCTGCGGGGGGCTACGATGGTCAGGACCAGCTGAACAGCGTGGAACGCTACGACGTGGAGACAGAAACGTGGACTTTCGTAGCCCCCATGAAGCATCGGCGAAGCGCTCTGGGAATTACTGTGCACCAGGGAAGAATCTATGTTCTCGGTGAGGCCCTGGGGGTGGGGGCCTGGGTGGAGAAGCCTACCTAACCCCATCTTTTAGGGGCAGGCTCCAATCCTGGCAGGAAGGCATCTTGTGGTTTCTTCTCCTCTTTTTCCCCCGCCCTCGGAGGGAGCAACCATCCCTTCTGCTCTCCCTGCAGGAGGCTACGACGGTCACACGTTCTTGGACAGCGTGGAGTGTTACGACCCAGACACGGACACCTGGAGCGAGGTGACCTGCATGACATCTGGCCGGAGTGGAGTTGGCGTCGCTGTCACCATGGAACCCTGCCGGAAGCAGATTGACCAGCAGAACTGTACCTGTTGAGCCACTTTTGTTTCTTGGGCAAAAAAATGTTCCAATCCAGAGTACTGTCGTCTTTGTACAAAAACAGGGACAAAAGAAAAGGCTACAGAGCAAATGCTTGTCCTCCAGGATGGGAGGCTGGGATGCCTCAGTGTTAAAATGACAACTCGAAAGAAAAGGCCAGAATGGGAACCCGTGAGCCCATCAGAGTAGTCCCAGGAATGTCCAAGAGAGCCTGCCCGGGAGGTGGGTGCGGGAAGGGCAGGCCCCCCGGGGAGAGGCCCCTACACCTGCTACCCCGAGACCAGGCCTGGGTCCCACACCAGCAGCCACCATCTCCCCTTGGGATGAAAGCAGGTGCCGAGGACAGGCTGGTTTTTGTTCCCTGCATCTTCGTGATTGGTTCTTGGAGGCCTGGGAACGAGCCAACTGAGGCCTCAGGGGCTGAGGCCCCTCCAGAGGTGTGGACCCCGGGGATGGGCCTGTACATAGAAACCATTGGGTATCACTGCCCTGGACAGTCATTTTGTTGATAAGTAACCCTGTAACTTTCCATTGAAAATAAAGAACAAACTAACTAGTGTCTTCCACCCGGGCTCTCAGCTGGAGGTCTTGAGCCAGTGGGACGGAAAGGACTCTTCTCCTGAAATGCACTCAAGTCTTCGAGTTAGGGCTTGGATTTGAAACCAGTTTGTTATCTCGGCCCATTGAATTTTGATATGTAGGTTATCTTTCTCCCCATGGGCAAGCCACACAGGGCTCACTTTGTCTGTCACTTTTAGCTCCTTTGCAGACAGTGACCCAACTCCTTGACTCATCTCCTAGGGCTCCCCGAGGTTAATTGCACACGCGAACAGTTTGTATTTTAAGGAGGACTATCCCCAGCACGCCTTCCAAATTCCGTGAAAGTCCATCCGTCATCTTTATACACTTCAATAATGTAGACCGAGCCTTTTATTTTATTTGGGTGTCTGGGACAAAGGGGTTCTTGAGAATTTTCTTCAGGCAAAGGGTTCAGCAGCCTGGTTCCTTCTGAACTATATGTGTGAACGGAGTACGTGGCCTGGATCTTTCCTGCGAGTCAGCTCTGTTCGTGCTGGGGGAGTGGAGAAAAGAAGAATGAAGTATGGTCTCAACTATTGGGGATTTCACAGGTTCTTCCAAACAGCTTAGAGGAAACATTTGATTCCTTCCCTGCCAGGAGCAACAAGAGAAGCCACCACAATGAGAAGCCCGCGCACTGCAATGAAGAGTAGCCCCCGCTCGTGGCAGCTAGAGAGAGCCCGCACGCAGCAATGAAGACCTAACACAGCCAGAAAAAATAAATTTATTAAAAAATACTATACTAATATCAATAAAAATAATAATATATTAAAAAAAGTATCCAGTTGGGGAGAAAACAATTTTTATATTAGGTCTTTCTGTTCATGAACTTGGTATATCCGTCTATTTAGTGAAGACTTTGCTGTCCTTCAGGAAAGCTTTATAATTTCTCCACAAAGGGCTTGCAGTAGGTTTTATGGGAGTTTTATAGGCCTTGCTCTTGTCAATGAGATCTTTACTCACTGATCCTTTTAAATTGATATTTCTGTTACAGGGAAGTTGTTGATATAGATGTATTGGTCTTCTGCCAGCTTCTTTCTAGTACCTTTTTTTTTTTTAGCAGATAGCCATCTACAAATAATGATAGTGTAATGTCATCTTCCCAATAGTTCTACAAGTCATTTCTTTTCCTTGTCTTACAGCATTAGCTAAGACATCCTATACAATTTTGATTAGTAATGGTAATAGTGGGCATCGTTGTCTTACTTCTAACTATAAGGTGACTGCTTCTAATGTTCCACCATTAATTCTGATACTTGCCAAAACATTTTCTGTAATCTGTGCCTTAAGTTTTGCTGGAAACTTTATCAAGTTCAGGAAGCTCCCTCCTATACCTAGTTTGCTACATCTTTTTAAAAATCATAAATGGATGTTGAATTTTCTAGATGTCTCTCATTCACGAGGTGGGTGCCAAGAAACTGCATTTCTAACAAGTTCCCAGTTGATGCTGAAGCTGCTCGTCCAGGGACCACATTTTGAGACATTGGCGTAGAACAAGAATAACGGGTTAAAGGCAAATTCTGAGAAACGACATTTAAGGAGTAGAGGGATGTAAGAGAAGGCCCGATAGGAGCACAACAGCAGCAGAAAATTATGAGAAAAACTAAGAAATGTACAGTGTCACAGAAGCCAAGTGGTGAAAAATTTGAGCACAAAAAGTTTAAAAGAATCACACTATTAAATACAAAGCAGTTCAGAAGGAGACCTTCAAATGCTCACTGGATTTGGCGATTGGAAGGTAAGCTTACTAAGAACCATTTTGGTAGAATTGTGAGGGTAAAGCAATAGATTCTGCAGGTGTTTATCGAATGCCTCCTTAGAACAGGCACTGTTGCCGAGGAGATAACACTGAAGGATGCTGAAAGAAGGAATATCTCTTTTGAGACATTTGGGTGAGAAGAGGCACAGTACGCATGACAGCTAGAGAGGAACGAAGGGTTCAGGGAGGGTTTGGGGTTTTGCTTTTAAGATTCAGAAGACAGAGCGTGTTTATAAGCTAAGGGGAAGTTCCAGTATAGAAAGAGAAAACAAAGATGAAGGCGAAAGGATGAACTTATAGTGATGATGAGCAAGTAACTTCCCACTCTTAATCAACTGGACAATGTCTAAGATAACTTTCAGCTCTGTGAAGGCCACTGTAGTTCTGGGTGCTAGAGTATCTTGCTTTGTGCAATACAACATACCTTCAATTCAAGGACTATCTTCTCCCTTGGGAGTGTATTCTGGTGCGTTTGTTTTTTAATTGGGCGAAGGAAGTATTTATTACTTGCAACAAGTAAGGAGAACACTAGGGATCCTGGTTTTAAAATATAAATGTTAGTGGGAATATACAGTATTGCAGAAGATAGAATTTAAGAAAATTAAATTTAAAAGAAGAAGAGAGAAAACAGAGTAGGTTTGAGACCCGTATCTGTCACTTACTAGGTTCAAATCCTCTCTGGGCCTCATTTTTCTCCTCTGTAAAGTGGGGAATAGTAACAGTATCTAGCACCTGGCACACAGTAAGAATGCAATAAATGTAGTTATTATTGACTAGGAACGAGATAAGTACTAGAAACCTGAAATGCTAACATTAATCTGAATTATTAAGGTTTTCAAAGTCAGAATGATAATGATAACATTTTATTACCTCAGAGCACTATACCTGCATTACTTAAAATTCCTCACTGGCTCTCATTACCTGTGAAAAATCAGTGCTTCCACCAACCCACCTGTCTCATTTTATGATGGTTTTGTAGCTCCCCAAGACCTCAGGGTTGATACAGGAAGTGTGGCCTAAAAGGAGTGCAGCACCCTCTTGTGGGCCTTTGGGTAAAAAACGGAACTATTTCCAGGGAAGAAAAGGAGCAAGATTGGAGAAGCCCCAGAGTGTAGAATGCCCTGATTTTGGCTTGTTCCTTTTTTTTTTTTTTTTTTTTTTTTTTTTTGCAGTACGCAGGCCTCTCACTGTCGTGGCATCTCCCATTGCGGAGCACAGACTCCGGACGCGCAGACTCAGCGGCCATAGCTCACGGGCCCAGCCGCTCCGCGGCATGTGGGATCTTCCCGGACCGGGGCACGAACCCGTGTCCCCTGCATCGGCAGGCGGCCTCTCAACCACTGCGCCACCAGGGAAGCCCAGTTCCTATTTTTTTAAAAAATCAGCATTCTTCAAAACTTCTGGGAAAATTATATTTTTATAAATAAACAAGGACTCTCCCTCCTGTGAGCGCCAGCACCAAATCCACACCTCAGGGTTGTAACTTTGATTTTATTACACCCAATTGTAAGCCGGACACCCAGGAACACTTTTCAGACTACACATCCCAGGATCCCCTGGGATTTATTCAGTTGATTTAGACAACATTTGTGGGAAATTCGAAACTGCAGCCCGATGCTGACGTCAGCTACCTCTTTGCCTTCCCCTGCCCTCACAGGAAAGATTAATAGCATTGGCCAAGGAGTTGGTGTTTCTTTCTTAAGTCTCAGCTATCGCAGGTGGATTCTCTTTCGTTTCTAGCCCATGTCTTTCCCTTACTGATCATATATCACCGTCTC